CCGCTTGCCAGCTACGCCTCGGCTGGCGCAGGGGGCGGAACCACGCATGCGCGGCGCTCCCGGGCAGGGAAAGTCCTCGACTTACGACCGGTTGGGTAGTCCTCGACTTACGACTGGTTTAGTCCTCGACTTACGACCGGTTTAGTCCTCGACTTACGACCGGTTGGGGTCGCGGCATTAAAAAGGTTGAGAACCACTGGCTTAGACTTATATATTGCTTTATACTGCTTTCCCAAGGACTTCACACTGCTATACACTCTAAGCCAGTGTTTCTCAACCTTGACAATTTTAAGGCAGGTGGACTTCAACTCCCAGAATTCCACAGCCAGCAATGCTGGCTGTGGAATTCTGGGAGTTGAAGTCCACATGCCTTAAAATTGTCAAGGTTGAGAAACACTGCTCTAAGCGGTTTACAGAGTTCAATATACAGTAGTGGCCAAAATTGTGGAAACCTTTTGGGGAAAGCGTATTTTTTTGAGGTTTGATGGCTAATAACACCACTCTTTTTGGAGTAGTACCATTGTAGCCAATGAGCGTGAGTGTTTAGAGAGCCAATCAGGTGTCATCTTGTTTTAGCAATGAGCCAATCAGATCACAGTAGGGTTCAGTGATTGATGTCATATATTGAAGCTGAGAGGTCAGTGTGTTATGTGATCGCTATCAAGTTGGGGTTTTTTTGTGTTCTTTCATTTAGTGAGCTTGTAAAACGTAATAAAATTGAAGTCACGGTGCAAAGAGTTGACTGGTTGCCTAGAAAGCGATGTAAAATAGTATTAAGTGAACAAGGCTACAATTATAAAGCAATTAGAAGAAAAAATTGGGTGGAAACTTAACCAAAGGTGGCATTTCTACTGTACACTTTTCCCAAAAGGTTTCCACAATTTTGGCCACTACTGTAGGTAAAGAAATATCTCTTGAAACAATGACCTAAGAAACCACTTGGTTATTTAGTTCTTTATAAAACCAGCAACAGCATCATTCTTGCCTCTGCTGGTTTTATTATAAAATGCTGGAATGACATTAATGCTACTGTACCTTCCACATGGATATAAGACCCTAACACTAGGCTTTGCCCTTTGTACATGAATAATCATTTTGGCTATTAAAAAAGGAAACCAGCAGATAATAAAAGGTGTTTTACCTGAACAATCAGTGTCAATGAGGCTGAAGATAGTCTCCAGATTGGACAGGTTTCGGTAAATGCTTTCCAGCAAACTCGACTGAAGGCGCTGAAAGAAACGAGACCACCGTTCACACAGAAATCCCTTAATCGGTTTTCGAAATATGGGTAGAATTAGTCAGACATGCTTAGCTTAGGGTAAAAATACGACATTGAAAACGTATTTGTGTCTTGTGTACGTCTATGGAATGATGGCTCTTTCTTCAGCCTCACTGGTTGCCATATTGTCACCAAATTCCATAACTGGCGAGAGATTTCAGGAAGAGGAAAAGAAGGAATAACAGAGTTGGAATAGAATAGAATAGTGTAGAATAGAATAGAATAGAATTTATGGAATGGAAGGAACGGAACAAAACAATAGAATAGAACAGAATAGAAGTTATGGAATGGAATAGAATAGAAGTTATGGAATGGAAGGAACAGAACAAAACAATAGAATAGAACAATAGAAGTTATGGAATGGAATAGAACAGAATAGAATAGAATAGAATAGAACAGAATAGAACAGAACAGAATAGAAGTTATGGAATAAGTTCTGTTTTTAGAACAGAAATTTGTGTATATTTATTGTGGTTTTTATTATCGCCTGTTCACCGCCCTGAGTCCCGTAAGGGAGATAGGGCGGTATATAAATTCAATTAATAATAATAATAATAGAATAGAATAGAATTTATGGAATGGAAGGAACGGAACAAAACAATAGAATAGAACAATAGAAGTTATGGAATGGAATAGAATAGAATAGAATTTATGGAAGGAACGGAACAAAACAATAGAATAGAATATAATAGAAGTTATAGAATAGAATAGATAGAATTTATGGAATGGAAGGAACGGAACAAAACAATAGAATAGAACAGAATAGAAGTTATGGAATGGAATAGAATAGAACTGGAAGGGACCTTGGAGGTCATCTAGTCCAACCTCCTGCTCAAGCAGGAGACCCTATGCCGTTTCAGACAAATGGCTGTCCAGTCTCTTCTTAAAAGCCTCCAGTGGTGGAGCATCCACAACTTCTGAAGACAAGATGTTTCACTGATTAATTGTTCTCCCGGTCAGGAAATTTCTCCTTAGTTCTGGATAGGATCTCTCCTTTTTAGTTTCTAGCCATTGTTTCTTGTCTTGCTTTGGAAATAGGTTGATACCCCCCCCTCTTCTTTGTGGCAGCCACTCAAATATTGGAACACTATCATGTCACCCCCTCATCCTTCTCTTCATTAAACTAGATATACCCAATTCTGGCAACTGTTCTTCATGTTTTATCCTCCAGCCCCTGATCATCTTTGTTGCTCTTCTCTGTGTCTTTCTAGAGTCTCAACATCTTTTTATATTGTGACCAAAAGTGGATGCAGTTCTCCAAGCATGGCCTTATTAAGACTTTATAAAGCAGTACCCATATTTCATGTGATCTTGATTCTATCCCTCTGTCAATGCAGCCAGGGATTGTATTGGCTTTTTTGGCTGCTGCTGCACACGGCTGGCTCATATTTAAGTGACTGTCCACTAGAACACCAAGATTCCTCTTACAATTACTGCTATTGAGTTAAATTTCACCTAATCTGTACCTGTACGTTTGTTTTTTGTTGCCTAAGTATAGAAGGAGAATATGACTATTGGCATGATGCTGGTTTTCTTCATTCCCACAGACCCTCTACTGCAGGGGTGTCAAACTGCCGGCCTGCGGGCCGGATGCATCATAGCAAAACCGCACCCATCCCATTGCCGACAATGGCAAAAAAAAGTCGCGATACATCGCGACACATCACGTGATGTTGCAAGTTTCACACCCCTGCTCTACTGCAATACCTCTTGGGTTGCAGATTTCTCTTCTGTCACAATGTCTTTAAGCCACGTCCTGTAGTCCACTTTTCCATTGGTCAGTTGCAGTATCAGATGTGGTCTCAGCATCCTCCATGGCAGTCCTAGCTGGAGGACCGACTCTATGGCTTTTGCCCAGTCATTTATGGTGATGAGGCCTATGAGAACACAAAAATAGGGTGATTAAGAATGACTTGGTGAAGGTCCAGTGTTGCAGGGAGTCCTTGAGTTATGACCATAATGGATCCTGGGTTTGGTGATCGTTAAGTGAATCTGTGGTTTTTAAGTAGCATGGTTCTTAAGTGAGTGCAGTAGTCGTAAACTGAATCAGTGGTTCACTGTGGGCACCGTTTTGCCGAAAATCAGAGGTAACTGCCAGTTTTCGGCAAAATTATTGTAAAATGAAGTCACACCATATCACAAAAAAAATGTTGACACTTTGGAAAAAGTTGAGTGAAGAACAACTAAGATGATCCAAGGCCTGGAGACTAAAACATATGAAGAATGGCTGCAGGACTTGGGTTTGACTAGTCCAGGGGTAGGCAACCTTGGCTCTTTTATGACTCATGGACTTCAACTCCCAGAATTCCTGAGCCAGCATGGCTCAGCTTGGAAACCTCTCCCTTTCCCCTCAGCATGGCTGGCTCAGGAATTCTGGGANCAGTTCTCCTCCTCCTCCTCCTCCTCCTCCCCCTCCTCCTCCTCCTCCTCCTGCCACACTCCCTTCTAGCGCTGATGATGTTACCTAGCTGGGTAATGAAATGTCTGCAAGAAAACACCAAGCTCAGAGAGCACCAAGGACCCTCACTTCAACTTGAGCTACCAATATTCTCCTTTATTTCCAACCCCCAAAAAATATTTACAACCTGGATTCAAAGTGACTGAAAAAAGTGACTGATGATCCTGCAAGGGTCTATAAGAGTGAAAAATGGTCATCGGTCACTTTTTTCAGTGCCATTATAACGTCGAACGGTCACTAAACAAACGGTCTATACTACAGTTCAAGACCAACTTACGGGTTGCTGGTTTGGAACCCTGCCCAAAGTCCTTTCAGGGGTGGTTGGGGTTAGAGATGTAAAATTTCCAGAAATTTTGAAGCCATGAGGGGAAAAAATGTTTTTTCCCTGTTTTTTTTTCAGAAAAAAATAGAAATTTTGGAAAAATTTTGGAAAAAAAGTTCACTTTTTTGTAGTTTTACAAATTACATGAATAGAACAGAACAGAAAATGGGGAATAGAATAGAATAGAATAGAATATATTCCACACTCCTTTTTTTTTCCAATTTTTCCAGGAAAAAAAAGTTTTGGGAAAAAAAAACAAAATGGAAAACCCCCTGTTTTCCCCCCCATTTTTCTGGTTTTTTTCCCAGGCCTTCCCATCTCTAGTTGGGGTACAACTGTCCGCAGTGCTGGCTGACCGTTGAGTTATGTTCATTTGACGGGATACTCCTTTGGTGGCTTGAAACTGGACCAAATGAGGTATGAGGTCAGGTCCCAGTTTGATGTAAGCACCCCGGTTACTGCCCACTGCATAATAGTTGGAAGCCGAAAATATGGTGATGACCTAGTCAAGACAAAACAGAGTACAACAGATTTACAGGAGTGCCCATGTTAAAGTCTCCAAAACCTACGTGTTCATCTTTGCTTTGCTTTAATCCACATTTGTAAGGGCGTGATGCTCACTAGTTAAAGACGCCGAACTTGTCAGCTCGAAAGCTGACAGTTTAGGTTCAAGACCTGAGCGCCGCACAATGGGGTGAGCTCCCGTTCCTTGCTCCAGCTCCTGCCCACCTACCAGTGTGAAAGCATGCAGATGCGAGTAGATAAATGGGTACCACTTTGATGGGAAGGTAACAGCGTTCTGTGTGCTTTGGTGTATAGCCGTGCTGGCCACGTGACCACAGAAGCATCTTCAGACAAGGCTGGCTCCCTCATCCAAGAAATGGAGATAAGCACCGTGCCCTAAAGTTGGACACGACTGGCTGGGAAAACCTTTCCCTTAATCCACATTTGTGCATTATTTGCACCGCAAACCCGCCATTAATATCATTCACAAAATGATTTTCAAAAAATCTCCCAAATAAAAATGTAAGCAGCACAAAAAGAAAGCGTAGTCACATTGTCCTGCAATTTATGACTTTTGGCTTTGCTTCCATATTCTGGCAAAAAAAACCTGCCCATTGACTACAATGTCTGGATCCTATGTTGTCTACGTCTGCTGGTAAGTTACTACCAGAAGAAATGGGTTAGCCTGTGGAGTTGCCACTGGGCTGAGCTTCATGTTGATACAATCCATGCGTTTATTTCTATAGGTACTCATTAACTTGCAACTAGGTTGCTTAGCGAGTTGATATATACATAACAGATGCCAAGTTCCCAGGAAAAAAAAGGCGGAGAAGAGCATCAAAGATGACAACGGGTCTGGAAGCAAAGTCATATGATGAACAGCTAAGGGATCTAGTTACGTTTAGCCTAACCAAAGTAAGGTTTAGGAGAGACATGATAACTGTCTTCCAATACTTAAAGGGAAGAGAGCTTCCATTTATTCTTGAGAGCACCTGAGGGCAGGACGAGAAGCCATGGAGGAAGCTTGTCAGAAGGACAACCAACCTAGAAATAAGGAAGAATTTCCTGAATGTAAGAATTAATCAATGCAACAGTTTGCCTCCTGGAGTTGTCGGTGCTCCATCGCTGGAGGTTTTCAAGAAAAGATTAGACAACCATTTGTCCAGGATGGTAAAAGGAGTCCTGCCTTAGCCAGGGGGTTGGTCTAAAAGATCTTCAAAGTCCCTTTCAGCCCTATGATTTTATGACTGATTCTCTGAGTCTATGATTCTGTGATGATTCTATGATGACTCTATGATGACTCTATGATGATTCTATGGTGATTCTATGATGACTCTATGATACTGTGATTCTGTGATTCTATGATACCGTGATTTTGTGATACTGTGATTTTGTGATCCTATGATTCTGTGATTCTATGATTCTATGATACTGTAATTCTGTGACTTTGTGATTCTATGATTCTGTGATTCTATAATTCTGTGATTCTATGACTTTGTGATTCTATGTTTCTATGATATTGTGATTCTGTGATTCTTTGATTCTATGATACTGTGATTCTATGATTCTGTGATTCTGTGACTTTGTGATTCTATGTTTCTATGATTCTGTGATTCTGTGATTCTATGATTCTGTGATTCTGTAATTTTGTGATTCTATGATTCTGTAACTTTGTGATTCTATGTTTCTATGATTCTGTGATTCTGTGATTCTATGATTCTGTGATTCTGTAATTTTGTGATTCTATGATTCTGTAACTTTGCGATTCTATGATTCTGTGATTTTGTGACTTTGTGATTCTATATTTCTATGATTCTGTGATTCCGTGATTCTATGATTCTATTCCCTATGCACTTTTGCAACCCAGAAGCTTTTGCTGTTAGCCTGTACCTCTCCAGTAATATCCTAAACACTGATCCTCCACTGGGCCTACCTTCCGATTGTGGTTGAATTCATAACCTTCTGGCTTGCATTCGTGAGAACGGATGATGAACTGCAGGCGGTGTTTCTGCAGAAACATATCCGTCACATCAGGTCCAAAGTAACAGCCTCCGCCCCTTTCCAAATTCATTGTGCATCCAGGTCTAGGATCAGGGTCACTCCATAGAATATCCACAACCTACAAGCAAAGTCACAGACACGGGGTTTTCCAGTTGCTTTATTTGAATTTTATTCATGCGTTTAGGTATGTAAGTCCACATTCAAAAGAAAAGTCAGTAGGGAATAGCATCAACATTAGAAATTCTGAGAGTTTCAAATTTTTATTAGTTTATCAAAACATAAAAGACAAAAATACAAAGAAAAAAAATAAAAATAAGGGGAAAACGAGGGAAGGGTAAAGAGACAAATGTAGGAGACCTCTGAGCTGTTTTCAGGGAGGTTGAACACTTTGAACATTGTGGATTATAACCTTGCCTGACTGACAATTGTTGGATGCCTGAGACAAAGGATCACTATAAAATATTGATTTTGGGACTGGACGTGTATTCTGGAATCTATTGGATTATAAAGGCTACATATAAAGTCCAGAAAGCTAGAGGAAACTTTGTTCTACTCTTAAATAAACACCTTTCAGAAGGAAATATACTCTACACTACAACTAATTCACCAAACAATTGTTGCAGACAAAGAGGACATAAAAAGAAATCATAATGAGAGTAAAAATAATTTAGATAACATAAATGAGCAAATCTCCAAATTAAATCTACAACTAGAAAGTTCCCAGACAACGACTACAAAGTATTTTAGCTATATAAATGTAATTAATATTGAGAAAATCATAGCTGACAAAGATACTTTAAATATTGATGGGTAATCAAACTTTAACAAGAGCATGAAAAACAGGATATCGATTTATGAATTGATATTAATGTTATTTGTATAATATTAGTAAAATATGACGAAAGAGGTTTATACCTAACTTTGTATACATCAATCGTACCAAGAATTGTAATTGTGTAATGAGGGGGAAATGGAAACAATATGGGGAAGAAAGAAGGATCAGGGAAATTATACTGGATTGTGCAGTACTGAATAGATTTATATTGAAGAACTTAATGTTAAATATGTGAACCCGGACAACATGTTGTTTACTAAACTCCAAAGATTGTAATTCTTAAAAATTAATAAAACTTCAAAAAAAAGAATTAACCAAATTCAAGAAGGGTTGGCCTTGTGGGAGTGTAATGATTCTAGCCCAGTGATGGTGAACCTTTTAGAGACCGAGGGCCCCAAAAACTGCCCCCCACCCCCATCCCCGCTCCGCCCTGCCCACTGGGCCACCCATCACCTCCACGGCCCGCCACAGATCACCCGGGCAGCCCAGCAGCGCCATGGCGGCCATGACCTCCACCCATCCCCCGCAGCATCATCTGCGCGCAACGGGGCGCAAGGGCAGAGTCTTGTCCCCGCTGCCCAGCTACCATGTCCTTGGCTCCGCTGCTTCATTTGGGCCGTGCCCAGGGGCAACTCTCCTCTGGGGGGGCTGCTGGTGAGGAGGGGGCCGTGGGAGGAGGCGGGGCTGGGGAGATGGTGCGTGTGCCCACAGAGAGGGCTCCGAGTGCCGCCTCTGGCACCTGTGCCATAGGTTCACCACCACTGTTCTAGGCTGATGACTCTCTTGACTCCACCCCCCAGGCTCTGCCCTCTTTCTCCTACAGGTTGGTCAGCTATTGCTGGATTCATTTCTACTTTTCTGCTTGCTGGAATTTTGGCAGTTCTCCAAATGCTTACCTGCTCAATGTCATCATCTTCATAGCATGTGGATTCATTTGAGTCCTCTGAGTCCACAGATGAACTGGGTCCTGGGATTTTCTGGACTCCAGGGGACATGCGGGAGGATCTTGCATCTTCCTGGACTGTCTGTTGTCCTCCTTGGGAGACTTTGATTGTGGAACTACTCCTGGCCACTTTGCCACCTTCAGATGGGGTATACTCTAAAGATTTTCTTCTCTTTGGTGTTAGCACAGAGAGAATCTAAGTTTAGAAGGAGACACCAAAGAGGGAGTTGTTAAGAAAGAGACTGAATACGTGACTGAGAATCAGGTATTTTTTAGAACCATGTTTTCAATCCAGTTATGGAATTGGAAAGGACAAACGAAGTGATCTTGGAGTGTCTATATCAGTGATGGCGAACCTTTTAGAGACCGAGTGCCTAAACTGCAACCCAAAACCCACTTATGCATTGTTGGGTACCGGGTGGGTGTGGCCCATTGGGTGGGCGTGGCTGCGGTGGCAACAGCAGACTGGGTGGGACTAAAAAGTTCAATCAATCAATTCCAACTTTGCAAGATCTTTTTTTTCCCGCAAGAAGTTGAAATTGACTGATTGATTGAACCTTTTTTTTGATACACGGCGGCGGAGGCCTAAAGTGAAAAGGTTTTATAAAACCCAGCTGAAGGCCTAGGACTGGGGCAATGGCGCGTGTGCCCACAGAGAGGGCTCTGACTGCCGCCTCTGGCACCCGTGCCATAGGTTTGCCACCACTGGTCTATATTTTGTCTCTCTTCAATCCTGTGTGCAGTTCTGATCGCTACAATACAAAAGGGACCCAAGTAGTCCTCAGCTTACAACGGTTTGTTTGGTGACTGTGCAAAGTTACAACAGCACTGACAAAAATCATTTTTTCACACTTACAACCATTGCAACATCCCCCTGATCAAAATTCAGACATTTGGCAACCGACTCATATTTATGACGGTTGCCGCATGTCCCAGGATCACGTGATCACCTTTGGCAGCCTTCCGACAAGCAAAGTCAATGAGTAAATCAGGCTCACTTTACAACCATGTTACTAACTTAAGAACTGCAGTGGTTCACTTAACAACTGTGTCAAGAAAGGTGGTAAAATGGGGCAAGACTTACTTAACCAATGTCTCGCTTAGCAACAGAAATTTTGGGCTCAGTCATGGTCATAAGCCAAGGACTACCTGCACTGAAGAACTGGAAAGGTTACAGAGAAGATGGCGAGGAAATTGGGTCTAATTCCTATGAAGAAGGATTAAAGCAGAAGTCCCCAACCTTTTGGGCACCAGGGACCGGTTCCGTGGAGAGAGGTTTTCCCACGGACCGGAGGGTGTGTGGCATCTCGCGGATGAGGCTTTGGTTGTTTGTGTGGACCGGTTGCTGGCATGCTGTGGCCCGGTACTGTCCATGGACCGGGGGTTGGGGACTCCTGGATTAAAGGAACTGGGCAGGTTTAGCCTAAAGAAGCTACGCTACAATAGAACCCTCCCAATATTTGAAAGCTGTCACAGGGGGGAAAGTGTAAATTTATTCTTTGTAGCTGCTGAAAGTGGGACAAGAACCAAGAGGAAGACAGAGGTCCAAAGTTCAAACAAGAAGGAATTTCCTGATCATCTTTAGAGATGGAGTCCTAGTGGACAAACACTTAAATATGAGCCAACCGTGTGCTGCAGCTGTCAAAAAAGCCAACACAGTCCTAGGCTGCATTAACAAAGGGATAGAATGAAGATCACGCAAAGTGTTAGTACTGCTTTATAATGCCTTAGTAAGACCACACTTGGAATCCTGCATCCAGTTTTGGTTACCACAATGTAAAAAAGACGTTGAGACTCTAGAAAGAGGGCAGAGAAGAGCAACAAAGATGATGAAGGGACTGGAGGCTAAAACATATAAAGAAGGGTTGCTAGAATTCGGTATGTCTTGTTTAATGAAAAGAAGGACTAGGGGTGACATGATAGTAGTCTTCCAATATCTCAGGGGCTGCCACAAAGAAGAGGGAGTCAACCTATTCTCCAAAGCACCTGAAGGCAGGACAAGAAGCAACGAGTGGAAACTCATCAAGGAGAGAAGCAACCTAGAACTAAGGAGAAACTTCCTGACAGTTAGAACAATCAATCAGAGGAACAACCTGCCTCCAGAAGTTGTGAATGCTCCAGCACTGGAAGTTTTTAAGAAGAGACTGGACAGCCATTTGTCTGAAATGGTGTAGGGTTTCCTGCCTGAGCAGGGGTTTGTGGACTAGTTGACCTCCAAGGTCCCTTCCAGCTCCGCTATTCTGTTCTGTTCCACAAATAAAAGCAGGTCCTCTTCTAACGCCATACCTTACACCTCTCAACTTTGGCTAGCTGTTCCAAATCGGTCTTATCAGATATGCCTCCATGTACAATCAGGACCTTCCTGTCAATCACAGTTGCCAATGGCAGGCTGCTGAAGACATTCTTGATCACCGCCAGGAGTCTGTTGGCATGATCCTAGAGGGAAGAGGAGCAGAGTGCAAAAACTAGGCTGCGCAGTTCAGGGGTATCCGACAACACCGAAGATGCAATAGGTAGGCAAACCGGAGTACCTTATATTTGCGGGTGACTTCCTTGGTAAACCCGTAGCTACAGGCAGAAGAGAAGAGAAGACTTTAACTAGATGTCTCGGAAGGAGAGCAAAACAACAACAATGACAATCTTAAAAGTGTTACAGGTAGTCTTCAACTTACAACAGTTCGTTTACTGACTGTTCAAAGGTAGCACAGCACTGAAAAATGTGCCTTATGACCGTTACAACCGTTGCAGCATCCCCACGATCAGGTGGCCAAAATGTAGACGCTTGACTCATATTTATGACCTTTACTGTGTCCCAAGGTCATGTGATCCCCTTTTGAGACCTTCTGACAAGCAAAGTCAGTGGGAAAGACAGATTCACTTAACAATCAGTTTACTAACTGATCAACTGTGGCAAGAAACGTTGGGGCAAAACTCACTTAACAAATGTCTCCCTTAACAACAGAAACTTTGGGCTCAGTTGCCGTCGTAAATTGAGGACTACCTGTAGTTTTGACTTATTTTCAGCCCTGCGAGATAAATCAGACCAAGAAACCAACGTCATGTAAGACGGCACTAGTTTTATTGCAACAGGCACAGTAACAGAATCTTGCCAGTTGGAATGGGCTTCCCCCCTCCATCCTTTTATTTTGGTACGAACTAGGGAGGGGCTTGTCCGAGATACTTTCTGTTAGAAATTCTGTTTTACATAAAGGACCACATAGAGCAAACAAAGAGCACAGTCACCATGTGCTTTACTGCTCAACTCTATTACTGTAACTGGAAACAGGAAACTCTTCTCACAAAATAAAGAAACCATAGATTATAACCATAGATGCATACTAAACACTGCCATCTACTGGCTGAATAATTCTGTTGCAATACAAAATACATTCTAACATATATTCCAATGCTTTCTCAGGTTACTTTCTTGGCCAGGGCTCAAGATCCACTTATCTTGCTAACCATTCTTCCTCCTAGTCATCTAGGTTATTCCCTATAGCTTTTACAGGTAGCCCTCAACTTATAAGAGTTTGTTTAGTGACTATCAAAGTTTATGAAAATGTTGAAGGGTACTGGGCCTAGGACAGATCCTTGGGGTACCCCATTGCATGCTTCCCTCCATGTAGTTGTAGTTCCGTTAAGCACTACACACTGGATGTGGTGGGTCAGTAAATTGCAGATCCATCTGTCGGGTGATGCTGTCTACCCAATAATAATATGTATACTGAAGAAAATATTTATTTATCTATTTAAAAAATACATATGGCCATCCAATTCATTCTCAGTACCTCTGGGTGGCTTACAAAGATAAACAAAATAAAAACTAGATACCCTACTTTTCTGCAAATGATTTAAATTCCATACCGGAAATTGATCATGTAATCCTCATGGTTGCCTCGATTCAGGTGGACCTCTTTGGGGTAAATCAAGAGGAAAACAAAGAGAATGATCAGGATCTCAATGGAATGCTTGCCTCTGTCCACAAAGTCACCGTTGAAGACGTACAACTTCTGCGGAGAAGGAAGTCCGTTCTGTAAGGAAGAGAAACAAAAATCCCTAAAACTGAACTTCAGTGGGATGGCAAGATTAGGAGACAAGCTCCCAGGAAGCCTTAATCTGTGGGGTCCTTGGTGCTCTCTGAGCTTGGTTGTTTTCTCGCAGATGTTTCATGACCCAACTAGGTAACATCATCAGTGCTAGAAGGGAGAGGAGGAGGAGGAGGAGGAGGAGGAGGAGGAGAANTGTGGAGGAGGAGGAGGAGGAGGAGGAGGAGGAGGAGAAGGAGGAGGAGGAGGAGGAGGAGGAGGAGGAGGAGAACTGTGAGATCCTTGGTGCTCTTTGAGCTTGGTTGTTTTCTTGCAGATGTTTCATGACCCACCTAGGTAACATCATCAGTGCTAGAAGGGAGTGTGGAGGAGGAGGAGGAGGAGGAGGAGGAGGAGGAGGAGGAGGAGGACAACTGTGAGGTCCTTGGTGCTCTCTGAGCTTGGTTGTTTTCTTGCAGACGTTTCATGACCCAACTAGGTAATATCATCAGTGCTAGAAGGGAGAGGGCTTTGCTCCCTGTGTATGTACTAGTGGCTTTTCCCGCCAGCATTGATGGGAGTGTTCTTCACAGATGCCGAGATTCACTGATGCCGAGGAACGTTGTGCGTTTTATTGCTCCACCATAGCAAGTCTAACAAGCAGCAAAAAATGTAATTACTTTGTTTTATCTTGGTTAGGGAAGAGTTACCATGTCTTTTCTTGCACGGAAGATTAGAATCGAGGTACTTTTGTAAGGATTGATTCATTTCGATTGCTTCTGACATATCGTCATGCACGCTCTGCTTACCTTGTAAAATATGTGAAACAAGTCGAATATTTGTCCATGTAAGTCTCCTAATAAAAGAAAGGGAGAAAGTGTTATCTCAGTGAAGAATTTGATAGAATCCTAGAATGTATAAATTGGAAATCATCTTTAAATAATTTTAATCCAGCTCCTTGCACAGTGCAGTGGTTCAATTTGACATCAAACAGGACGTTGCTGAGCTTGAGAGAAGACTAAGCTATCAAAATTCCAAGATATTTCCTTATTGCTGGTAAGAGAACATGGACAGGTCCATCAGGAATTAAACTAAACTCCTGGAAGTTATGAACTCTTGCAGCCCGCTTACTATCGTAGCAGGTAGCCGTAGATAGTCAACCTTGGCTAGACTGTTGAATTTCTGCCTGCTAGTTTTGGAGTTTGGGCAACAGTCACTCAGAAGTCTCCTACCCCTCATTTAAAAGCCCAAACTTCACCGCATATTACAATGGTTTAGAGCAGGTCTCCAACTTCAGCAGCTTTAAAGCTTGTGAACTTCAACTCCCAGAATTCCCTAGCCACCAATGCCAGCTGGGGAATGCTGGGAGTTGAAGTTCACAAGTTTTAAAGCTGCCCTCGTTTAGACCTTTAGGCAAATATTTATCTCTCTCTCTCTCTCTCTCTCTCTCTCTCTCTCTCTCTCTATCTATCTATCTATCTATCTATCTATCTATCTATCTATCATCTATCTATCTATCTATCTATCTATCTATCTATCTATCTATCTAGCTATCTAGCTATCTAGCTATCTAGCTATCTATCATCTAGCTATCATCTATCTAGCTATCATCTATCTAGCTATCTAGCTATCTATCATCTAGCTATCATCTATCTAGCTATCTAGCTATCTATCATCTATCTTATCTATCTATCATCTATCTAGCTATATCTATATACTGTATCTATCTATCTATCTATCTATCATCTATTTATCTATCTATCATCTAGCTATCTATCATCTATCTATCATCTATCTAGCTATCATCTATCTAGCTATCATCTACCTATATCTATCTATCTATCTATCTATCTATCTATCTATCTATCTATCTATCTATCTATCTATCTATCTATCTATCTATCTATCTATCTATCTTCTATCTATCTATCTATCTATCTATCTATCATCTATCTATCTATCTATCTATCTATCTATCTATCTATCTATCTATCTATCTATCTATCTATCTATCTATCTATCTATCTATCTTTCATCTAGCTAGCTAGCTAGCTGTCTGTCTGTCTTGTCTGTCTGTCTAATCTGCCACCCATCTCACTATGGAGACCAGCTCTAGGTGGCTGAGTGCAACTCAGTGCAATAACATCACTGGGACATAAATTCCAGGTATAAACATAGAAACAGTTGAAAAGACAGGAATGAAACAGAGGAGAAAGATTTTCATCTTGTTCTGCTTTGGGTATCAGGAGGAACAAGGGCAGGTCTCCTTTGCTGGACTCAGGAGCGCTCTTCTCCTCTTCCTTGCAACTTTGCCGAGGGGCTCTACCTATTTACAACAGGTAGTTGACTCACCACACACGGTGATCTCCTCACTGTAGCAGGTAGAGATTCTGTTAATATTTGGCAGCTGGCTCAGATGGTGTTCCGCCTCTTGGAAGAGTTTTAAAACATAGTAAGGATGAAGCTGCTACTGGGAATAAAGAAAAAAAAACCATTAGAAAAGGCAACGGGAGAGAGGTTGAGCCTTGACCTGAATTTCAGACAGTCCTCGAATTACGACCGCAATTTGGCCCAAAATTTCTGTTGCTAAGCAAGACACTTGTTAAGTGAGATTTGCCCCATTTTATGACCTTTCTTGCCACAGTTGTTAAGTGAATCCGGCTTCCCCATTAACTTTGCTTGCCAGAAGGTGGCAAAAGGGGATCCTGTGATCCCAGGGCACTGCAGCCGTCATAAATGTGAGTCAGTTCCCAAGTGTCTGAACTTTGATCACGTGACCATGGGGAGGCTGCAATGGTCGTAAACGTGAAAAACAGTCATACGTCGCTTTTTTCGATGCCGTTGTAAACTTCAAACGGTCACTAAACAAACTGTTCTAAGCGGAGGAAGACCTATATTTCCAAAAGCTGCAAAGAGCAACACACACACACACAAAATGTGTGTATGAGTGCAAATGCACTGGATAGTAGGAAATGTAAACCAACAGTACACCCCTCTCCATTATAGGCAGTCCTCACTTTACAGGCACAACTGAGACCAGAATTTCCATTGCTACGCAAGGTGAGTTGTGCCCGATTTTATGAGCTTTTTTTGCCACAGTTGCTAAGTGAATCATTCGGTCATTAAATGAATCTGGCCTCCCCCACTGACTTTGCTTGTCGGAAGCCTGCTGGGAAGGTTGCAAACGGTGGTCACGTAACTCCAGGATGCTACGACCATTGTAAATACATGGTGCTCTCTGAGCTGGGTGGTTTTCTGGCAGACGTTTCATGACCTAACTAGGTAACATCATCAGTGCTAGAAGGGAGTGGGCTTTGCAGAGAGGAGGAGGAGGAGGAGGAGGAGGAGGAGGAGGAGGAGGAAGAAGAAGAAGAAGAAGAAGAAGAAGAAGAAGAAGAAGAAGAAGAAGAAGAAGAAGAAGAAGAAGAAGAAGAAGAAGAAGAAGAAGAAGAAGAAGAAGAAGAAGAAGAAGAAGAAGAAGAAGAAGAAGAAGAAGAAGACGACGACGACGACTGTGGGGTCCTTGGTGCTCTCTGAGCTTGGTGGTTTTCTTGCAGACGTTTCATGACCCAATTAGATAACACCAATGCTAAAAGGGAGTGGGCTTTGTGGAGAGGAGGAGGAAGAGGAGGAGGAGGAGGAGGAGGAGGAGGAGGACTGTGGGGTCCTTGGTGCTCTCTGAGCTTGGTTGTTTTCTTGCAGATGTTTCATGACCCAACTAGGCAACATCATCAGTGCTAGAAGGGAGTGGTTTTTGCTCCCTGTTTATGTAGTAGTGCAGACATGTCAAACACAAGGCCCCGGGGCCCAGATGCGGTCCACGAAGTGGTTTCATGTGGCCCGCGAAGCCATCCTGGAAACAGTGAGGGAACGGCCCCCACTGCCTTGGCCCTGGCCCAGGCTGCGTTTCATGCCTGTTTTTCTCCCTCCCTCATCTCAAATATTTTCCCACCACTCTGTACTTAGGAAGGAAGGAAAGAAGGAAAGAAGGAGAGGGAGGGTCTGAGGGAAGTGCTGCTTTAGTCCGGTCCTGCTGCCCTTTTACCATCCCCTTGCCCCCTCCTCCTGGCCTATCCTGGGGTCTCCCATCCTATTGCTAAGGAAGCTTTGGATACAAAGCCGGGTCTCCTCCCATGGAGAGGGAATGGGCCTCCCTCTGATTTTGCCCTCGTACCCATCATGAGCAACCTGGCTAAGGAGAGCAAGCACAGCAGCAGCAGCCTTGAGGAGGAGGTAAGTGCAGCTGGGCGCCCCCTTGGGGAAGTGGGGCTGGGCTTGGTGCCGCTGGTGCTCAAGAGCCAGGCTGGGCATTTGACCTCTGCTGCGCAGGGCTCCGGGCAGCCCGCACCACCATCCAGCCCCCCATGGCCTGAGAGGAACAGTGAGGCTCCTCCAGTGGACCATACCTTGGCACTTGCCCTGGTCCCACCCCGTTCTGCCAGAGACCCTC